CTGTATCTAAATCAAATCAGGAACTGTATTTTTTTTTTTTAAATGATTTGCTTTTGAAACTTGAAGTCTTGAAAACAGTGTGATACAATTACTATTGTTCTAGCCCCCAAAGAGTTTTCTGTGCAAAATCTTGAGAATCAATAAAGATGAAAGGGAGAAACTGGAATGTTTTAACTGCAGCCCTCAGAACTTTGGTAACAGCACAACAAATTAAAAACTCATACCACAGTATGTCGTCTTTGTGTGTCTTGCAATGAACTGTTTCAGTAGCCAATCCTCTTTGTTAATATATGAAAGGACAGGGATTTTTGTTCTTGTTGTTATTTTAAGCTTACTGAGGAAAGTGCAGTTGGTAAAATGAAATGGTAGTCAAGCCTACTGCAACAAAGTTAGGAAGTCTGTTGTTTATTATAAACAAATAGCATGTGAAAGTGCACTTCAGATAGATTTTTTATTAATTACTTATTACCTAGATTTTAAAAAGACAATTCAAAGTCTCCCCTTCCTGTTGCCATCATCTTGTTAAATCAGCCATTTTATTGAGGCACGTGGTGAGTGTTGCACCACAATGACAAAGATGGCTACTGCGCCTTGTGTTAATTAATCATACAGTCAGCTAACCTGGAAATGAATGAAACTATTACTTCTAAGAATTACCTTGTAAAGCCCCACCAGTAAAATTTAATTCAAAACATGTTAAACATTACTTTCATGTACTATGGACAGGTACAAATAGGATTAAATTACTGGATTTTCAGAAGTAAGTAGTTTTCCCTTTCCTAGTCTTCTGTGTACGAGATGTTAATTTCTTTTATTGCATTAAGAAGTAAAAGAATTATGTATTTTAATTAAAACAAAAAAGTAAAAACAAAACAGAACAAAACAAAAAAACAGACAGAAAATAATCACCTAGAGAAAAATAGTACAGGTCCCAGGGGACATGAGACTGAAAGTGTCTGTCGTCGCAGAAAATCATCAACTGGAGAAGGCGAAAGAGGTACCAGAAGACACTCGAGGGGAGGTGTCTGTGGTACCAGAAAATCATCGGCTTGAGAAACTGGTCGGGGTCCCAAGGGACACTCAACTGCAGGTGTCTGTGGTCTCAGAAAATCATCCCCTGGAGACAGTGGTTGGGATGCCAGAAGACACTCGAGGGGAGGTGTCTTTGGTCTCAGAAAATCATTAGCTGGAGAAAATGGTTGATGTCCCAGGGGACAGTCGACGGTAGGGGTCTGTGGTCTCAGAAAATCATCAGCTGGAGAAGGTGGAAGAGGTACCAGAGCTGAGAAGGCAAGTGGGAAGAGGTACCAGAAGACACTCGGGAGGTGTCTGTACCCAGAGAGTCATCAGCTGGAGAAAGGGGAAAGGTCCCAGGGGACAGTCAACTGAGGGGTTTGTGGTCTCAGAAAATCATCATTGAGAAGGTGGAAGAGGTGCCAGAAGACACTGAGGTATCTGCAGTCTCAGAAAATCATGGGAGCTGGAGAATGGTAGAGGTCCAGGGACAGCTTGAGTGGAGGGGTCTGTGGTCTCAGAAAATCATGGAATCTGGAGAAGGTGGAAGAGGTACCAGAAGACACTGGGAGGTGTCTGCAGTCTCAGAGTCATCAGCTGAGAAAGGGGAAAGGTCCTAGACAGTCAACTGAGGGGTTTGTGGTCTCAGAAAACTTATCAGTGCTGAGAAGGTGGGCAGAGGTACCAGAAGACACTGGAGGTGTCTGCAGTCCAGAGAGTCATCAGCTGGAGAAAGGCATCCCAGGACAGTCAACTGGAGGGCTTGTGGTCTCAGAAAATCATCAGCTGGAGAAGTGAAGGAGGTGCCAGAGACACTGGAGGTGTCTGCAGTCTCAGAAAATCATGAGCTGGAGAAAATGGTAGAGGTCTCAGGGACAGTCGACTGAGGGCTCGTGGTCCTAGAAAATCATGAACTGGAGAAGGTGGAAGAGGTGTGCCAGAAGACACTCGGGAGGTGTCTGCAGTCTCAGAGAGTCATCAGCTGGAGAAAAGGGGAAAGGTCCCAGGACAGTCAACCTGGAGGGGCTTGTGGTCTCAGAAAATCATCATTGAGAAGGTGAAGAGGTACCAGAAGACACTGGGAGGTGTCTTGGTGTCCCAGAGAGTCACTCAGCTGGAGAAAAGGGGAAAGGTCCCAGGGAGCAATAACTGGAGGGGTTTGTGGTCTCAGAAAAATCATCAGCTGGAGAAGGTGAAGAGGCAGAAGACACTCGGGAGGTGTCTGGTAGTCTCAGAGAGTCACTGGGGGGCTGGGAGGTGGTGGAAAGGTCCTGCAGGGACAGTCAACTGAGGGGTCGGTCCCAGAAAATCATCAGCTGAGAAGGTGGAAGAGGCACAGAAGACACTCGGGAGGTGTCTGCAGTCTCAGAGAGCCACCAGCTGGAGAAAGGGAAAGGTCCCAGGGAGTCAACTGAGGGGTTTGTGGTCTCAGAAAAATTCACTCAGCCGGGAGAAGGTGGGAAGAGGTACCAGAAGACACTGGAGGTGTCTGCAGTCTCAGAGAGTCATCAGCTGGAGAAAAGGAGAAAGGTCCCAGGACAGTCAACTGAGGGGTTTGTGGTCTCAGAAAATCATCAGCTGGAGAAGGTGGAAGAGGTACCAGAAGACACTCGGGAGGCCTGCAGTCTCAGAAAATCATGAGTTGGAGAAAATGGGTAGAGGGGTCCCAGGGACAGCCGAGTGGAGGGGTCTGTGGTCCCAGAAAATCATGAACTGGAGAAGGTGGAAGAGGTACGAGAAGACACTCGGGAGGTGTCTGCAGTCTCAGAGAGTCATCAGCTGGAGAAAAGGGGAAAAGGTCCTAGGGACAGTCAACTGAGGCCTTGTGGTCTCAGAAAATCATCAGCTGAGAAGGTGGAAGAGGTACCAGAAGATACACTCGGGAGGTGGCTCCTGCAGTCTCAGAGAGTCATCAGCTGAGAAAAGGGGAAAGGTCCCAGGGGACAGTCGACTTGAGGGTCAGGGTGTCAGAACATCATCAGCTGAGAAGGTGGAAGAGGTGCCAGAAGACACTGGGAGGTGTCTGCAGTCTCATATAAAAATCATGAGCTGGAGAAAATGGTAGAGGTCCCAGGGGACAGTCGAGTGGAGGGGTCTGTGGTCTCAGAAAAATCATGAACTGAGAAGGTGGAAGAGGTACCAAAGACACTGAGGCCCGCAGTCTCAGAGAGTCACTGCTGAGAAAAGGGGAAAGGTCCTAGGGGACAGTCAACTGGAGGGGTTTGTGGTCTCAGAAAATCATCAGCTGGAGAAGGTGGAAGAGGGCCCAGAAGACACTCGGGAGGAGTCTGCAGTCTCAGAGGAGTCATCAGCTGGAGAAAAGGAGAAAGGTCCCCAGGGACAGTCAACTGAGGCTTGTATCCCAGAAAATCATCAGCTGGAGAAGGTGGAAGAGGTGCCAGAAGACACTCTCGGAGGGCTCTGCAGTCCCCAGAAAATCATGAGTTGGAGAAAATGGTAGTGAGGTCCCAGGGGACAGTCAGAGTGGAGGGGTCTGTGGTCCCAGAAAATCATGAACTGAGAAGTGGTGGAAGAGGTACCAGAAGACACTCGGGAGGTGTCTGCAGTCTCAGAGAGTCATCAGCTGAGAAAGGGGAAAGGTCCCAGGGGACAGTCAACTGGAGGGGTGCCTGTGGTCTCAGAAAATCATCAGCTGGAGAAGGTGGAAGAGGTACCAGAAGACACTCGGGAGGTGTCTGCAGTCTCAGAGAGTCATCATTGGACAAAACGGGAAAGGTCCTAGGGAGCAAAATAACTGAGGGGCTGTGTCCTGTGAAAATCATCAGCTGAGAAGGTGGAAGAGGTACCAGAAGACACTCGGGAGGTGTCTGCAGTCCTAGAGAGTCATCAGCTGGAGAAAGGGGAAAAGGTCCTAGGGAGAATGAATTGAGGGTTTGTGGTCTCAGAAAATCATCAGCTGGAGAAGGTGGAAGAGGTACCAGAAGACACTCGGGAGGTGTCTGCAGTCTCAGAGAGTCACTAGCTGAGAAAAGGGGAAAGTCCGAGGGACAGTCAACTGGAGGGGTTTGTGGTCTCAGAAAATCATCAGCTGGAGAAGGTGGAAGAGGTACCAGAAGACATCGTGAGGTGTCTGCAGTCTCAGAGAGTCATCAGCTGGAGAAAAGGGGAAAGGTCCCAGGGGACAGTCAACTGGAGGGGTTTGTGGTCTCAGAAAATCATCAGCTGGAGAAGGTGGAAGAGGTACCAGAAGACACTCTCGGGAGGTGGTTCCTGCAGTCCAGAGAGTCATCAGCTGGAGGAAAGGGGAAAGCGTTGGTCCTAGGGACAGCCAACTGAGGGGTTTAGGTCTCAGAAAATCATCAGCTGAGAAGGTGGAAGAGGTACCAGAAGACACTGAGGCCTGGTAGTCCCCAGAGAGTCATCAGCTGAGAAAAGGTGTTATCCCAGGGACAGCCAACTGGAGGGGTTTGTGGTCTCAGAAAATCACTGTGCTGGAGAAGGTGGAAGAGGTGCCAGAAGACACTCGGGAGGTGTCTGCAGTCTCAGAAAATCATGAGCTGAGAAATGGTAGAGGTCCCAGGACAGCCGCCTGGAGGGCCCGTGTCCCAGAAAATCAAGCTTGAACCCATAAAAATGCTAACATTAACCAAAACAACCTGTAACAAAAACTGAGGGGCTTGTGGTCTCAGAAAATCATCAGCTGAGAAGGTGGAAGAGTGTAATGGCAGGGAAGATACTTCGGAGGTGGCCTGTGGCCCTAGAGCTACTGGTTGAGAAAGGGAAAGGTCCTAGGACAGTCAACTGAGGGGTTTGTGGTCTCAGAAAATCACTGGCTGGAGAAGGTGGAAGAGGTGCCAGAAGACACTCGGGAGGTGTCTGCAGTCCTGAAAATCATGAACTGGAGAAATGGTAGAGGTCCCAGGGGATAGCCGACTGAGGGGTCTGTGGTCTCAGAAAAATCATGAACTGAGAAGGTGGAAGAGGTACCAGAAGACACTGAGGTGTCTGCAGTCTCAGAAGAGTCATCAGCTGGAGAAAAGGGTGGTCCAGGGGAGGCCAACTGGAGGGGTTTGTGGTCTCAGAAAATCATCAGCTGGAGAAGGTGGAAGAGGTGCCAGAAGACACTCGGGAGGTGTCTGCAGTCTCAGAAAATCATGAGCTGGAGAAAATGGTAGAGGTCCCAGGGGACAGTCGTCTGGAGGGGTCTGTGGTCTCAGAAAATCATGAACTGGAGAAGGTGGAAGAGGTACCAGAAGACACTCGGGAGGTGTCTGCAGTCTCAGAGAGTCATCAGCTGGAGAAAATGGGCGAGGTCCCAGGGGACAGTCTGTGGAAAGTGGTCTTAGAAAATCATCAGCTGTAGAAGGTGGAAGAGGTGCCAGAAGACACTCGGGAGGTGTCTGCAGTCTCAGAAAATCATCAGCTAGAGAAAATCGGAAAGGTCCCAGGGGACAGTCAACTGGAGGTGTCTGTGGTCTCAGAAAATCATCCACTGGAGAAAATGGTCGAGGTCCCAGGGGACACTCAACGGGAGGTGTCTGTGGTCTCAGAAAATCATCAACCAGAGAAGGTGGAAGAGGTACCAGAAGACACTCGAGGGGAGGTGTCTGTGGTCTCAGAAAATCCTCAGCTGGAAAAGGTGGCTGAGGTACCGGAAGACGCTCGAGGGGAGGAGTCTGTGATATCATAAAATCATCAGCTGAAAAAAATGGTAGAGGTACCAGGGGATACTCGACTGGAGGTGTCTGTGGTCCCAGAAAATCATCAACTGGAGAAAATGGTAGAGGTCCCAGGGGACACTCAATGGGAGGTGTCTGTGGTGTCAGAAAATCATCAAGTGGAGTAGGTGGAAGAGGTATCAGAAGACACTCGAGGGGAGATGACTGTGGTCTCAAAAAATCCTCAGCTGGAGAAAATGGTAGAGGTCCCAGGGGACACTGGAGTGGAGTTGTCTGTGATCTGAGAAAATCATCAGCTAAAGACAATGACTGAGATACCACAAGACACTTGACGGGAGCTGTCCGTGGTCTCAGAAAATCATTAGCTGGAGAAGGTGGAAGAGGTATCAAAAGACACTCGATGGGAGATGACTGTGGTCTCAGAAAATCATCAGCTGGAGATAATGGTCGAGGTCCGATGGGACATTCGACTGGAGGTGTCTGTGGTCTCAGAAAATCATCAGTGGTAGAAAATGGTCGAGGTCTCAGAGGACACTCGACGGGAGGTGTCTGTGGTCTCAGAAAATCATCAACTGGAGAAGGTGAAAAAGGAACCAGAAGACACTCAAGGGGAGGTGTCTGTGGTATCAGAAAATCATCAACTGGAGAAGGTGAAAGAGGTACCAGAAGACACTCAAGGGGAGCTGTCTGTGGTCTCAGAAAATCGTCAGCTTGAGAAGGTAGAAGAGATAGCAGAAGACACTCGAGGGGAGATGATTGTGGTCTCAGAAAATCATCAGCTGGAGAAAATGGCCAAGGTCCCAGGTGACACTTGAAGGGAGGTATCTGTGGTCTCAGAAAATCCTCAGCTGGAGAAGGTGGTTGAGGCACCAGAAGACAATTGAGGGGAGGTGTCTGTGGTATTAGAAACTTATCAACTGGAGAAGGTGAAACAGGTACCAGAAGACACTCGAGGGGAGGTGTCTGTGGTATCAGAAAATCATCAACTGGGGAAGGTGGAAGAGGTACCAGAACACACTTGAGGGGAGCTCTCTGCAGTCTGAGAAAGGCATCAGCTGGAGAAAATGGTAGAGGTCCCAGGTGACACTCGATGGGAGGTGTCTGTGGCATCAAAAAATCATCAACTGGAGGAGGTGGAAGACGTACAAAAAGACACCCGAGGGGAGTTGACTGTGGTCCCAGAAAATATCCAGCTGGAGAAAATGGTAGAGGTCCTAGGGGACACTTGAGGGAAAGTGTCTGTGGTTTCAGAAAATCATCAACTGGTGTAGGTGGAAGATATACAAAAGGACACTCAAGGGGAGATAACTGTGTTCTCAAAAAATCTAATGGTAGAGGTCCCAGGGGACACTTGACTGGGGGTGTCTCTGGTCTCAGAAAATTATCAACTGGAGAAGGTGAAAGAGGTACCAGAAGACACTCGAAGGGAGGTATGTGTGGTCTCAGAAAATCATCAGCTAGAGAAAATGGTAGAGGTTCCAGAGGACACTCGACTGGAGGGGTCTGTGGTCTCAGGAAATCATCAACTGGAGAAGGTGGAAGAGGTACCAGAAGACACTCAAGGGGAAGTGTCTGTGGTTTCAGAAAATCATTAGCTGGAGAAGGTGATTGAGATACCAGAAGACACTCGAGCAGAGATATGTGTGGTCTCAGAAAATCATCAGCTGGAGAAAATGGTAGAGGTCCCAGGGGACACTCGAATGGAGGTGTCTGTCGTCTCAGAAAATCATCAGTTGTAGAAGGTGGTTGAGGTCCTAGGGGATACTCGAGTTGAAAAATAGTCAGAGGTCCTAGAAAACCTTTAGCTGATGGAAGTGGTTGAGCTCCCAGATGATACTGAGATGGAGGAGGCGGCTGGTGGCCCATCCATTGTCTTAAAGGTTCAGCCATGAGGTAGGGCGAGTAGGGCAATCCTGAGGAATGATGATGCTCCACTGCAACCATACTGACCTGTAGGGCAGAAGGAGGAAATGTTTTCGCATATATTCATTTGATGGACAAAATTACCACCACCAACACAGGCTGCACCTTCTGTTGCTGGTGATAGTTTTTTGCACCTTTCCATCCTCCAGGTTTCAAAATAGCATTATCAGTGTTATAATATCACTCTTCCACTGAGTACCACCGACCACTGGGGAATAAAGAAAAGTCACTGGGACACACTGTTGTCTCCACATGCCACTGTGTCTGTCTGCAAATGTAGGCAGGCTGGCATTCTGCCCCAGGGAAGACAGAGTCATAACAGAGTAATAAAGCAGCATGTTTGAGACACAGGAGTGTCTATGTCTATCCTCATTCCTCCCTCACAGCCATCACCAGAGCATTTTCCTTGCACCAGGTCAACAGACAGTAAGAGAGGCATGAAAAGCCCATTGTCCACACATGTTGCAGCTTCTTTTTGGAGAATGTTTTCCACGCCTTTTACGTTCTGTCTCTGATTCTCAGAACTCTGCAAAGTCAGTGTGACCACCCTGCTCAAAATCTAAGAAAACAGAGGTTTGCAGAGGAAGGAGAAAATGTGCCCAGGGTCACAAAGCTTGCAAGAGGTCGAGTGGAAGTTGATTCCAGCTCTCCCTGCAGGACCCTCTCTTTTCCCCCTCTGTTTCCCTTCTTGACAAAGGATCTTCTTCACTCTGGAGGTGCCACCCATGAGAACAAAGAGTTCTGGGGAGATGTGGATTCCTGAAGAGCTGCAGGGGAACTGGGAAAGGGTTTTCTGACAGAACAATCCTACATCAAGAAGTCAGTTAGGCATGGCTGTAATATTTCTTTTCACTCCCAGGTAATACCAAATTGTAAGTGCATTAAGACATAAAGAATACTTTTGTCCATGGAAAAATGAGGTGAGAATTCTAAACAAAGCAAGTTTTTAAAATGTGTTTGACTTCAAGTGTACAAGTCCCACCATATGTGATCACAGGACTTGGCAGCTGTTGAAGGTACAGAGGCCACACAAGAACCAGCTTAGCTGAGCATCATTTAAGGCCTTCATTTAGAATTGTCCCTTGGTAATAAGTTACATTCACTCTTCACTAACTCACACTTGGGGCCTATTTGCTATTACAAATATGGAAGCTCTGACACTGAGAATATTAGATCAGGGGCACCACTGGGTGGGGATGAAGGTGTTTTTGCACTACACAGTTACCAAGAGGGATGGGACTGTGACGGACCATGGAATTGGCCTTGTCAAAGAGCATTCAAAATTGCACAAAGCACTAATTAATATTGGATTAATGAGTTTTCACTATCTTCTGGGAATACAGCAGATATTTCGAATGTTAATCTCCTACCTTAGAGCAGAAAACAAACAAAATCACAGCAAAAGAAAGAAGACCCCACATATTTCAGAAATGAGACCTCACAACATCTTGAGTAAAGAGGGTCAGTGGGAGTTCCCTGCACTACGAGACCTACAGTAGTGGAGGTCAGTGGCACCTCCTCGTGTTGGTTCTGGAAACAGAACAGTAAAAGTCCTTCAGCCCTCGGCCCCTGAGCATTTATGGATTCTGGAGGTGCCACCAACCATGATCAGCTGGGAATGGAGAAGCCTGAAAGCTCATGGGGAAGATTTTGCTTCTGAAAAAGTCGAGACAGAAAAGGCACCACAGAACCCACAGAGCAGAGGCCAGGCCAGGAGAGGGCGTTGTAGGAAAAGACCAAAGCATCCTGATATAGGAAGAGTGAAAACCACCCCAGCATTTACCTTTGTTTTCTCTGTGTTTCCAGCAGGGACGCAGCTGCTGTTCCTCATGGGAACCGAATGAGGTCCTGAATCTGCTAAGGGCCAGAGAAGGGAATGGGGCTAAATCTGGCTTGCATGTTCTGTGCAGAGTAAGAAACCCCCGACACCCTCCACTGCCATCTCACTCTCTGCCACACAGGTCCCTTACCACAGACGCAGGGTTTCTCGATCAATGCCTCAGAGGAATCTGGAGCCCTCGGGGCCCTCATCCTTGAGGAAGACACCACAGAACCCTGGTCCAGGGGTATTCTTAACTCTCAATAGGCTGTGAACAGGTGGGGCTCTAACCAGCTGGAAATGAGCTCTAAATCAGTACATATCAGAGGAACTCACCCATCATGTGAGCATAGACTCAAAATTAAAATAGGAACAGCCATGTTTGGAAGAATATCAGTAAACCCTGGATAGGAACAACACTGCTCCTCTTCTTCAAGCCAGAGGGGCATTTAAAATTCTGTGGATTCATAGTTAATCTAACTTTCATACCTGGCCAGGTATTATCGATACTTATGAACAGAAATGGACATAAAAAGATGAACAGTCATGAGAAAAGGTAAGAGCTACAGAAAATTAACTGGAAAGTTTTAGGGTTACACTTCAAATGTTAGAGGAGTAAGATTATATAGAAATTTAACTTACTAATGGAGTTATATAGTTGACAATAAACAACTTAAACAAACAAAAAGAATGAAGGAAGTTCCAAAAAGTGTAAATAAATACTTCTTCTCCTTTTTTTTTTTTTTTTTTTTTTTTTTGAGACGGAGTCTGGCTCTGTCACCCAGGCTGGAGTGCAGTGGCACAATCTCAGCTCACTGCAAGCTCCACCTCCTGGGTTCACACCATTCTCCTGCCTCAGCCTCCCGAGTAGCTGGGACTACAGGCACCCGCCACAACACCCAGCTAATTTTTTTTGTATTTTTAGTAGAGACGAGGTTTCACCATGTTAGCCAGGATGGTCTCGATCTCCTGACCTTGTGATCCGCCTGCCTCGGGCTCCCAAAGCGCTGGGATTACAGGCATGAGCCACCACACCCAGCCTGCTTCTTTTCTTAAAGCAGATCTCATGCTACAGTATTGATCCATGAAGACATGGCTAGAAAATCTGTGCTCTCATCCCCACACGTGGCTCCCATTCTAAAGTGCTATTGCTGTTTCCTCAAATGAAAGAAAAATAAAGTCTTCACACTGAGTCAAGGTGGAAAGGGGAGCCAGCCCATTTGCCTTCTAGGCTCATCTCCTCAGTTAAAAGGAACCAAGACATCAGGGTGGGGCAATGTCCACAGTCGGCGGAGCGGCCTGAGCTCCACCATTCACAGGGGACCAGCCAAGAGCCATTCAGCTAGGGCACCTGAGATAAATAGGGTCCTACCACCCAGTGGGACAACTGTTCTCTTTGTAAGTGCTTGGAATTGTTTCCAGGAAACATAACAATTACCCCACCCGAGCCCTCACCCCCAAAAGGAGAAGCAGGGTGTGTGGATTGTGCAGCAGAAGTTAAGCAGCTGCCTTCACAGCCAGCTCCTACCTCTCCAGAAAGGGTTCTTTAGGCCCGGTCGTCCCTGGACTGGCTTCTGACTCATGTCTCTCTCTGGCATTCTCTGCTTTTCCCTCATTTCACACCTACAAGATAGAGGAAGAATTGACTTGAAGAATTAAAACACCAAGTTCTTTACTAGACACTCAAAGCTTTATCTTAAAACAAACACATCCTGGCCGGGCGCGGTGGCTCAAGCCTGTAATCCCAGCACTTTGGGAGGCCGAGACGGGCGGATCACGAGGTCAGGAGATCGAGACCATCCTGGCTAACATGGTGAAACCCTGTCTCTACTAAAAAATACAAAAAACTAGCCGGGCGAGGTGGCGGTTGCCTGTAGTCCCAGCTACTCGGGAGGCTGAGGCAGGAGAATGGCGTGAACCCGGGAGGCGGAGCTTGCAGTGAGCCGAGATCCGGCCACTGCACTCCAGCATGGGCGGCAGAGCGAGACTCCGTCTCAAAAAAAAAAAAAAAAAAAAAAAAAATCCTTTAAAATGTCCATCACAATGACCTACCCATGCTGCTTGTAGGCAGCCTTCCTCTCGGCCATCTCCCTCTGCAAGGCTTGAGCACAGAGCTGTGGGGAGAAAAATACATCCACGTCCTGACCTGGCAGACTATGTCCAAAAGCAAGGAAAACAAACAAACTTACCCAGTTGTCAAGAGCCTTTTTTGCATAAGGGGTGATCTTAAAAAGCCAACACATGAAAAATTGAATGTTGAGAGAGTCTAAGGGCCATGGCATCATCTGCATCAGCACTGAACAATCCTACAACCGTGGGGAGGAAGGTCCTTACTTTGCATCTGTAGGAGTCCTCTGTCCGCCACTGCAACTGTTGCATGTCTTGAAACATTTTCCTGTGGATTACAATCACTTTCATCAGATAAAGCACCACTTTCAGGATGATTTTAAATAATCTGCAATGTTTCTATTATCCTCACAACTGTACCCTTACATAATCTATCTATAGCTAGAAAACATACTTCAAATGGCTATAAAAGTACAGTCTGGACCGGGCGCGGTGACTCACGCCTGTAATCCCAGCACTTTGGGAGGCTGAGGTGGGTGGATCACAAAGTCAGGAGATCGAGACCATCCTGGCTAATACAGTGAAACCCCATCTCTACTAAAAACACAAAAAATTAGCCGGGCATGGTGGCAGGCACCTGTAATCCCACCTACTCGGGAGGCTGAGGCTGGGGAATCGCTTGAACCTGGGAGGTGGAGGTTGCAGTGAGCCGAGATCACACATTGCACTCCAGCCTGGGTGACAGAGTGAGATTCTGTCTCAGAAAAAAAAAAAAAAAAAGTACAGTCTGATCCAAACTGTTGCTATATTGATTTCTCCTCTTTTGCTTAATGCCTGCTAACTTCTGAGTAGACAATTTCCTTCCCCATTCTTAGTATATCCCTAATTCGTCCTTCATTGGGCATCTTTTATCATAAAGCTCTATTCTCTTGGTATTAACATCCTTGCCATGTTTCACAGGGCAGAAACAGCTGGGCTTATAAACAGGCATAGTCCTTTTGAAGGATGTGGTTGATCCTATGACAACACACTTTCCTAAGGATGACAACAACTCACACCACCCCTAGAATGGCTGGTGTGAACCGAGTTTCCACACTGTCTAGCTGTTAATGGGGTCAGGAGACGTTTTGCTACTTGACATCTTTTGGTCACTGGTAAATCTTAAGGTACTTTGTTTTCTCTTTTGTGAACTCTCTCTCTCTCGCTCTCTCGATATGTCTTCTGACCATTTGTTTCTATTTCTGTATTTACTGGGTCTAAACATTGTACAAAGGTTAAACATAACACCCAAGAGGGTGGGGTTCAGTTTCTGAACTCACTTGTAGGTACGTATTTTTTTCATAACCAATTTCCCATTTTCCTCTGCCTCTGAGAGCTGCCTCTCCTTTTCTGCTTGCTCACATTCTTTCATTCTCAGCTTCCTGAGATTAGAAGGGACAGAAATGCACACACATGATTCACTAGCCTGCGTGGGATCCTCTCTGCCCTTCTGGTATCTAAAGGCTATGATTCAAAAGTCTCTCCCGCAACCTTCCTACAAATGAACCAACTGATTCTCACAACCGAAGGGAGAACTGACACCTCCCCTTCAGAGACAAAGAAAAATCACACTCTGGACGGCTGGCAAGTCACCTGTCATTTCCAGCTCATCTTCATAGTTCTATAGTCCTATTCTTTAGTAAATAAAGACTATTAAAAGCTTCTATGAGGTGCACTATGTGTGTTTCTGGGGTCAGTTTTGTGCTTGACACAGCGAAAGCCCATTTTCACTGTGAAAAACCAGACCTCCCCAACTCATCACAACTAACTCCATCGGGAGCAGAGGATTGCTCCTCATCTGACTCCTCCTGTGGAAGACCCAATTCTCAGTCAGAGGCTGATGCCAGAACCCAATCAGTCCCAGAGAGATCCTTCCAGAATGTGGTGTCATTAACCCTGCAGTTCGCTACTGCATTTTGCCATGATTCAGGACTGGAACTCTTGTCATTGGCTTTAAAGATCCTGGTTCAGAGAAAAGGCAATCTGAATGCTGAGTGCATCTATTGAATTAGAAATGATCAGAATGGCTCCTAAGTCAGGGTGTTATGTCCTGAAAATAGGTGACAACTGCAAACCATCCACCCTGGTGTTGACTGACTCTGACAAGGTTCAGTTCACAGTGAGGGTAGAAAAAGGAAATGGCCTAAAAAGGTAGGTTTGCTGTGTTGCCCTCACACGACTTGATTCATGGTCCTGATCCTAAGGATCTTACCTGATACTTGATTTTATAGGAAGGATGTATAAAATTCTAAGAACCCTAGAAAACAGGGACAAACACACTTCAAAGAGAAAGTTAATGCACTTGTTTCTGACCACAGGGCATCCTTTAGCACATGCTGTCTGGAGTGGCCTTAAGCACGGAGTGTGTGGTGAGGTCCTGAGGATGCAATGGGAGCAGGGTCCTGTTCCCACTCTAAAGGAGCTCACAGTTCAATGCAAATGAGAAGCCAGTGAGGACATCACTACTCCTGCTGTGCACTTGGGAACTAGAAACACAAAACCTGACTCTGGAAGGAAGCTAAGGAAGCGTTCTGCTCTTGAGTCGACGCAAGTGCATCTGAAGCTTCTGATCTCCCATAAGAACAATGGCGGACACCAAACAGAATATAAAACCCATGACTGAATGCATCAAATTGCTAACATGGCAGTAAAGAGACATGAGGTCAAGATGGAGAAGAAAGAAACCCAGGACGAAGGTTGGCCTCGCATTTGGAACCCATTTCCCTGAGTTTCATTGCTGAATTCCAGAAGGGACTACGAGATGCAAAGAATCAGAGCAGCTCTTGTACACATGCATGGGATTAGATGGTAAACAAGTGGATTGAGGGTCTGGCAATGAAGGCGACCCGTACTGAAGTCCACTGGCTCTGGTTGAGACCCAGAAGAATCACACACCAGAATAGAGGTGGACAGGAAATACCCTGGCCTTTATAGGGACTGAGCCTGCACTGATGACCTTAATTGCTGCCTGTATGGAGGACCCCTGACCATCCCCCAGAAGTAGACTCCCATCTCTTCTGCAGCAAGATAACATGCTAGTAGGCCTCCATTCATTGCTAAATATTTTTTAACAAGTATCTCACATTTAACAAAAAAAGATCAGTCATATGGCAGCAAAATACAATGTAATATGACCAAAACGTGAAAGACTGTGAAAATGAATCTGGACGTGACCCAAGCATTAGATTCAACAATCCAGGCCAGGTGCGGTGGCTCACTCTGGGAGGCCAAGGCAGGCGGATCACCTGAGGTCAGGAGTTCAAGACTAGCCTGGCCAACATGGTGAAACCCTGTCTCTACTAAAAATACAAAAATTGGGCCAGGCACGGTGGATCACGCCTGTAATCCCAGCACATTGGGAGGCCGAGGTATGTGGATCATGATATCAGGAGTTCAAGACCAGCCTGGCCAATATGATGAAACCCTGTCTCTACTAAAAATACAAAAATTATCTGGGCGTGGTGGCATGTGCCTGTAGTCCCAGCTACTCGGGAGGCTGAGGCAGAAGAATCGTTTGAACCTGGGAGGCGGAGGTTGCAGTGAGCCAAGATCACACCACTGCACTGTAGCCTGGGCGACAGAGTGAGACTCTGTCTCAAAAAAAAAAAAAAAAAAAAAATTGCCCAAGTGTGGTGGCACACACACCTATAATCCAAGCTACTCGGGAGGCTGAGGCAGAATTACTTGAACCTAGGATGCAGAGGTTGCAGTGAGCCAAGATTGCGCCACAGCACGCCAACCTGGGCGACAGAATGAGACTCTATCTCAAAATTAAAAAAAAAAAAAAATAGTGGTGCCTCACGCCTCTAATCCCAGCAGTCTGGGAGGCTGAGGCGGGTGGATCACCTGATGTTAGAAGTTCGAAACCAGCCTGGACAACATGGTGAAACCCCATCTTTAGTAAAAATACAAAAATCAGCTGGGCTTGGTGGTGGGTACCTGTAATCCCAGCTACTTGGGAGGCTGAGGCAGGAGAATTGCTTGAACTCAAAAGGCAGTGAGCCAAGATTGTGCCATTGCACTCCAGCCTGGGCAACAAGAGCAAAGCTCCATCTCAGGGAAAAAAAAAAAAAAAAAAGAAAGAAAGGAAAACCAATGCCAGTACTAGCACCTCCTGTTCCCCCCAAAAAATCATACACAAGAATGTAAGAAGGGAAAGGAGTTATGCAGATTAAACTAATCAAGCAGAAAGGAAAAACTCAATTTTGTTCCCACTGAATTTGCCACAAATATTGCAGAAAATATTCTCAAGGACATTACAGTTATCTACTTTGATTGGCACATGGTTCATACAACAGTGTTTGTGTCAAGGCACATCTTACCCTTCCTCGGTAGTCTTCCTCTGTCCATGGATTTGGTAATGACTGTTGACCTTCGTTGTCACCTTATGGACTACAGCTCGAACTTTGGCTTCCATATATCTCCATGAAGTAAAGAGGTCTTCTCGGCCAATTTTAATTCCTCGAAAGGAAGAAACCCTTTTCTTTGTGTGCGTACAAGTGCACCTCAGTCCTTGGTGAGGGTGAAGAGAGGAGAAGGTGAGAAACCTGAAGGCAAGAAGCTGTTCTTTTCCTTTCCAGATCAAACTCATTTCCATGCTATGGGGAATTCAACAAAGCCATACCTTCTTGGCTACGGCTATTGGACCTCCAGGCTCTCCGCTGTACATCTGTGGATCTGTCATGTACATTTTGTAACTTTAAGACAGTCTTGAGGAAAGACACCTAGGAAATAATAATTTAAGAATGACTGCCAGGCGCGGTGGCTCATGCCTGTAATCCCAGCACTTTGAGAGGCCGAGGTGGGTGGATCACGGGGTCAGGAGTTCAAGACCAGCCTGGCCAAGATGGTGAAACTCCGTCTCTACTAAAAATACAAAAATTAGGTAAGCCTGGTGGCGCACTCGTGTAGTCCCAGCTACTCGGGAGGCTGAGGCAGGAGAACCGCTTGAACCCGGGAGGCAGAGGTTGCAGTGAGCTGAGATTGCACCATTGCACTCCAGCCTGGTGACAGAATGAGACTCCATCTCAAAAAAAAAAAAAAAAAAAGACATGAATATATTTCACACAACTGAACTGTACACCTCAACAGGGTTAGATGGTAATTATCATGTTATTAAATATTTTACCACAGGTTAACATGTTTCACAACTTGAAAAGGATGTAATTACCTTCAGCTCTCTGAGTTCCAGAATTTGTAACATTTCACCCCCGCTCTGGAGCATCTTCCTTCTGTCCCTGTTCTACTCAGAGTCCACTTTCCCTTCCCTGACATCACCCTCATTGAGGCTGGTTTGAACCTAATGCAAAACATTCTCACTAATGACTGAATTCCCACCAAGATTTCCATATTGTCACTGTATGACTTTAATCTTCTAAGATATTAAATATTTGTTCTCATCATAGTTACGACGCAATGCAAATTCCATCTCAGATGTGGGTCAGATACTTATGAATTTCCTGAGGTAGTCATTGAAATAACTTTGTTTTTTTTTTTTTTAAACTTTCTTTTTTTTCTTTTTGAGATGGAGTCTCACTCTGTCACCCATGCTGAAGTGCAGTGGCGCCACCTTGGCTCACAGCAACCTCCGCCTCCCAGATTCAAGCGATTCTCATTCCTTGGCCTCCCAAGTAGCTGGGATTACAGATGCCCGCTACCATGCCTGGGTAATTTTTATCTTTTTACTAGAGATGTGGTTTCACCATGTTGGCCCAACTGGTCTTGAACTCCTGACCTCAAGTGATCCACCAGCCTCAGCCTCCCAAATTGCTGGGATTACAGGTGTGAGCCACCACACCTGGCCTGAAATAATATCTGTCAAATTCTTTGTAGAATTTGTTTTTTCTGATTTCTGCACATAGGATAAAAAACAAAACATGTACTAGGATTTCGAGAAAAGCAAAGGGTAATCTAAAAAGATGAAAGAGCAACCACATCTACCCCACAGCTACTGCTAGATTTCATAGGAAAGGTAGCTGGCCCAGCTTGGAGCTAGGAGAATGTCAAACACATCAAGAAATGAGAAGTGAAGAAACGCTGTCATGCATGAACGTTTCATGGCACCCACGATGTCTCTCCTTAGGAGGTAATGAGATAGATGACTAGATGACAAGGAGAAAGATGAGAAGGTGCAAAGTTGTCCAAGTCAAACAGCTCAACTGAACTTTCCTTAATGGAATTTTAAAAAAGTGGTAAATTTAAAAACTTCCCCCGGCTCACGTGGTGGCTCACACTTGTAATCCCACCATTTTGGGAGGCTGAGGTGGGGGGATCATTTGAGGTCGGGAGTTTGAGACCAGTCTGGCCAATATGGTAAAATCCCGACTCTACTAAAAATACAAAAATTAGCTGGGCGTGGTGGTGGGCACCTGTAATCCCAGCTACTTGGGAGGCTGAAGCAGGAGAACCGCTTGAAGCCAGGAGGTGGAGGTTGCAATGAACCGAGATCACACGATTATACTCCAGCCTGGGCAACAGAGGGAGACTAGTCTCAGAAACAAAACAAACAAACAAAAAAAGT